CTTGGAATGTTTGCAGGTATCTAGAGCATTAGACACATAATGTGTAATTAGATATTCACTGACATGCTACTCAATCCAGTGGGCTTCTTGGATTGTTAGAATCTAGTATATATATAGGAATAATGCTTGTTTTCTTTTTATTCTCTGTTGGTTCTAGAGGCTGGAGAGGACACTGAGTGTGTTCAGCAAAGCCCATGAGTCCAATTTGCTGTCAGAAGCTCTCTACAAGCAGTGGGTAAGAACTGACACAGAAGAAACAGATGCTGGGACTTTCCTGCATTATTTGTGTGCCTGCCTTTGCCATTTTGAGTAGACACAAAGATGAACTATTTTGGTTCAAAGCCCTGTTTTTTAACAAAGCTGTATCTGCTGGGTTTTAGCTTCAGCTCTTACTGGACTCCAGCCTCTCTGAGAGGGCTGTGGAGGTGGCAGAAGCTGCAACCAGGCACTTCAGCCAGTCTGTGGAAATGTGGCAGATGAGGCTGCAGGTGCTGATCCAGCTGAAGAGGGATGATGTGACCCAGAGTTTTGAAGAAGCCATTAAACATGTGGAATCTAAGGTCTGTGCTCGTTTAATGGACTTGCATGCATTAATCTTGGGCCAGAAACCCCTGATGACTGGTTGTTTTGTGGTTTTTGTGTTTGGGTGGGTTTTGTTTGTTTGTTTGTTTGTGGTTTTGGTGTGTGTTTTGTTTACAAGGCATTTAAAGTCCTTAACAATTTTTAAGGTCAGAAATAAGAACTTGATGTTTCACATGCAAATTGCATTCCGGTGTATTGGGGAATTGTCAATTCACTTAAAATTCACATGTTTAAAATCTGAATGCTTACAGTTGACATTTTACATATTCTCCTAGCAGCGAGCTGGTGTTTGTGTCTTAATGGAAAAATGTGTTTCCTTTTCTTCACTGTCGGATACACCTGTGTGGTATTTCAAGCCTTGAATTAGCTGTGTCCTCTCCTGCTCTGTTCCATTTCAAACCCTGAGCACAATGAGTGAGGGAGCAAGAAGGTTTCTTTCCTTTTCATTCTTGGAGTCACCTCTGTGTACTGCAGTGCTCAGTGGTGCAGAACTTGGTTCTCATCCCTGGCAACACAGTTGTCCAGCTAAGGATGATTTATTCTGTAAGTGAGGAAGGAAATAAGAAGTGATTTCAGTTCAAAGTTGTCTTTCCAAGAGCTGTGTCCAAAGAGCATTTTTTATGGCAGGTAATACAAAACCTGATGGCTGTGTTGCTGTCTGTTTCTGTAAATCAGACTCACTGAATTTCAGCCATTTGATGTGTTTGCTGACCTTGTAGGGCACTTTGCCATTGTGGACCCTCTGGGTGGAATGGAGTGAGAGCACAAACAGCAAAGAGGACACAGAAGCTCTCTACCAGGTACTTGGCTAATCAAAATCTGCTTTTATGTCTGTGTCAATAAAATGGAAAAATGTGTGTGGATGGAACATGCAACAAATGCTTTATACTGAAGTTCCTTCATGGATGTATTGATATCAAAGAATTTCAAGCCTTTAAAAAAATGGTTGGACATAGACTTACAGGCACAAATTCATTCCCATGTTCTGAGGCATATGGATGTTTGTAAGCATAACCAATGATGGGCTCCTTCTTTGTGGTCTAGAATACTTGCTCTGTTTTCAGATACTTGTCTGAGCATGGAAAAGAGAATTTTCCAATTTCTGTGAAAACATCAGTCTTTTCAGAAAAGTCAAGATCAGAATGAGGACTTTATTCTCACTATGGATTTCCTCAGTAGTGCAGGGCAAAACATTTTCTCTTTGCCTGGCATGTTGAGTTGTGTTTTTTCCTCCCATTTACCATAAAAACATGTATTTCAGGTGGGAGCTTGAATTCAGCTGTTCATAGAGTATTGTGAAACCCTCTGCATGAAGGGATTTATGGAAATGCCAGTTCCAGCTATATGGAATACTGAAGGAGAAATGTGTTTTAGACTTAGGAGATCTCCTTTGTGTCAGATGCCTAATTAGGGAGAAGCACTGATTGAGCCATTTAAATGTGTTTTAGACTTAGGAGATCTCCTTTGTGTCAGATGCCTAATTGAGCCATTTAGTTGTAGGTTATGTGATAGGTTTATTTTTTGTTTATTTTGATGGGTTTTTTTCTTTTCAAACTTGCAGAGATCCTTACATGCCACAACGCCTGCTGAATCTGTGACTATGAAAGAAATGTATCTTGACTGGACTTACAGAAACAGTGGTTATAAGAAAGTTAAAAGACTCTTCACCAGGTAAAAAAAACCAAAAAACCTTCAAACTGGATTATTCTAGGGTATATGTTAAGAGTCCCCAAGTCTAAAGTCACTTATTTTATTTCAGCCTGTGTGAAAATCGTCCATTTTCACTTGAGTTCTTCAGGAAGATGATCCAAATAGAAAAGGAGCAAGTAAGTTTTTGACTATCCAATTAATGCTTTGTATTTGTAAAATACAGTTCTAATTTGGGATTTAAATAGGAAGCAGAGTAGTGGTGTTAGTCTGTGATCAGTTCATGTTTGTCCTCTGCAGCTGATTCACAGGATGTGATACAAACCCAAGTTCCATGGTAACTAATCTTCAGCAGTGGGTGTGTGTAATTGCCATGACTCTCTTTCTTTGTCAGAATCTAATCATGCTGCAGATTCACTTCTGTACAAAATAAGTGGCCTCTTAATACCTTCCTTTTTTTAGGAATCCTGCAAAATGCTTAATCTGAGAGAATACTATGAACGTGCCTTGAGGGAATTTGGTTCAACAAATACTGGTAAGGAGGATTTTTTATTATTTATTCATTTATTCATTCATTCATTCACTGCTGCCTCTTTTATTTCCATCTATTTTAAAAGGTACCTGTTTGTTCTGCCCTTGTGCTTGCTGTCATGCAGAGTGGAGCTTATTTCTTCTGTGCCATTAAGAGTAGGACACTGCAGGGACCCTCCACTGTCAGCCCAGGGTCATTGGCACTGGGATGGCTTCAGCACAATGAGGAGCAAATCATGTTCAGACACTGGCTGGCCTAAGAGATGTGTATCACTTTTAATTTGGATTTATGAACAGTGTGGAGCTATATATTTATAATCCAGATTTCTGCAATATTCATTTGAAGAAAGTACACAGCTCAGTTATTGTTACATTATTTCTGCAGACATTACTGTTCCAGCTGGGATAGAACCCAGGGTTTTTGCTCCTCAAGGTGCAAAGGAGATTTTTGTTTCACGAAGTGAACACTACTGCATTATCAAAGATACTTAGAAAAAGAGTTTCTAATTAGGCTTGCCATGTTTGTTAAGTAATATCTAGTCAAAATCTAACCAGAACTTTCATTTTTCTTTTAAAGACCTCTGGCTGGATTATATCAAGGAGGAGCTGAGTCATCCCCAAGGCAAACCAGAAAACTGTGGGAGCATTCACTGGCGAGCAATGAAGATGTTGCAGGGAGACCTGGTGGAAGATTTTGTTTCTAAATACACTTTATTGCAAACTGGACATTTATGAAAAACTATACATAGTTATGACATGACTGTGCATTTTTTTAACTCTTTGTACAAAGGTAAATATGTTCCTGGATTTTATTAAAGTTTACCTTTACATTTTATGTGACAAAAAAGAATCATCTCTGTTTCAGTCATTTCTAGTGTTGATTCTGCCAGGGGCAGGTTCAAGTGCACAGTCAGAGGAAGCAAACCTCTGAGGGTCTTTTCATTGTGACTTCTGAGAGCAAACTCTTGATCTGCTTAAACATTCAGATAGTTATAGTGCATCAGTTTTTACACTCTGGAAAAGTAATATTATAGCACCTAAATGCAAAAAAATCCAAACCAAACCCAGTGGAAACTACACCTGTGGGTCATCTTTTTATCTTATGAAGTTGAATCATGAAAAGTGAAACACTTTTCATTAGGTAATCAGAAATCAGTAAAATTGCAGTATTCATTGCTTCCTACCCTTGAAATAATCTGTAATCTTCATGACAGAAAGAGAAACAGCCTCTGCAGCTACCTTGCATTGGTGTTTGCATCCTGAGAGTGATGCAGGGTAGAGGGGAGTTGTAGAGATCTGTTGGCAATGTCCTTGAGGTTGGAGTGGAGAGCTCTGATCTACACTTCAACTTTCTGTCCACCATGCCTAAATAATGTGTAATGTTTTTTGAAAGAGTGCTGTCCTTGGCTGTTTACAGAGCCACAAACCTGAGAAATCAACATAAATGCTTTCTTTGGACCAACAGAGAAACGTAGGGAAAGTACAAGAACAGGAAGCAAGTGTTCCTTTGTGCAATTTCCTGGTGACTGAAGGGTGACATAATGACAATACAGGGAAATATTATTGATTTTGCACTCAAGTAGAAATTGCAGCTCCTCTCAAGCAATGAATTCCAGTAACTTAACTAGCTGGGAATAAAGTTTGGAGCAGCAGTCCGGTAAGATTCCTCCTGTGGAGGAATCAGAGCTGAAGTACATCCTGCTTTTGTGTTTCCCAGGCTTTTAGCTAGGTTGTCTCCTATATCCCCTCTAGTTCTCTGCCATCTCATTGTCTGACATTGAGATTTCCTTACTGATAATCACTTACACCCTCCCTGCCCCTTATGCTGTTACTCCCTCTCCTGAACCACTTCTTGCTTCATCAGTTGCTCCGCTAAAAGTTTTTAACTGCAGAGTTTGGAGTTTTTAAAGTCCATCAAAGCTGGTAACGCCATCATTTCAGAAAGTGGGCCCTTTCCCCTCAGCTGCTCTGGTTCCTCGCACAATGTGCTCGACAGCTGCCACAGCTGCTCAGCCGCGGTGCTTCCCGTCTCCTCATGCTCTGAGCATGCTGCTACCACGAGGCCGGAAGGAAATTAACTTTCGGCCAGGGGAAAACTCCACCCAGCCATGAGGGGCATTGATACTTTATTTACAACTTCATCCGTGAAAAGGTGCTTTCTCAGGGCTCTCACGCCTGTATTTGTCTCGGTTCCGTGGCGGTGTCGGGTCGTGGTTGCACTCGATGGTCTCGGAGGTCTTTCCATCCGAACTGCGTCTGTGGTGCCGAAGCTCTGGGCGGTGGCGGCGTTGCAGGCAGCGGGGCCGGGCGGGAGCAGCCGCCCCGTCCCTGCCAGCCTCACCCCGGTGCCGCAGCCTGTCCCCGGGCACAGCCGCGGGCCCGCCCGGCTCACGCTGCCCGGGCGCCCTCAGGCCGGGCTCGGCTCCGAAGGTTCGGGCGTCACGGGATTGCGGGCGGGCAGCGGAGGTGGCGGGGACGCCTGAGGGCCACCGGCTTCGGCCGCTGCAGGCTCCGGCTTCCCGCACCCACCGCCGGCTCCTCCTTGTTCCACTGGAATTGTGAGGAGAACTCGCCGTCCCTTTGGCTGCGCGCCCCTCAGAGCAGCTGAGGGTTTCTTGCTGCTCTCCCCCATCTTGGCCAGCCCCTCAGGGAGCTGGAGGGTCCCGCTCGGAGCGTGGCTCCCGCAGAGCCCTTGGTTCAGTGTTAGTGCTTCTTCCCTTCCTTGTGTCTTTAATTCCCTCTGGTGCCTTCACGCTGTGCCGCCATTCCCAAAGGGGCGCGATTTGGGTCGGGGGTGTGAGTGAGGACAGCTTAGTGCTCAGGGTAACCGATGGCAGCAGCAGAATTAGCTACAGCTCTGCAGATTTGCCTTCTGAAGTGAAAGCCTGTTTGTTGTTAAACCTCCGATTCATCAAGGGAACAAATGGAGACCCTCGGGAACACATGGGGTAGCACATGAGCAATCAGAATTGCTACTGCATTCTTTAAAAATTTCTCATAGGTGATGGCTGCTGCCTTTGAGGCTGCAAACTCCGAGGGGAAACAGCTTCCTGATAAGACAGAAACTATGATCTGGAAGCCCAGAAAAGGTAGGACAAAACAAAGTAGGTCACAAATATTGAAACTTGTACACTGCTTGAGAAATCTCCTCAAAACCTTTTGGTGTTGCATGGGAAATGCCTCTTTACTTTCTGTGCTAAATTATTTCCATGTAGATATTTGTGTATGCCTAAGTACATAAGTAATTAATACAACTTTTTTTTTTTTAAAACCAGAATTATTTTTTTTTTAATACCTACAGGTGAATGTGGTGAAGCAAGACTGCTTTGTCCTTTGTCCTAGTTTACAGAGTTATTTTCCAACAAGAAAGTCTGATTTGCCTGGGTGTTGTGGTGCAAGGCTATGTCCACTCTTCCCAAGCATCTGAAATGTGAAGCAGCCCTGGAGTGATATTACATATATAGGAAACTGCATGTATTACAATAAGATTAGTAGTCACAAAGTGCACAACACTTAATTGTTCTTGTTTAATTTCTGAGTGTACTTGTTGGTGCTTTCTACTGGTTTTAGAACATTTGCTGCGGAATATTCCAAATGTTTCTGATGGCAAGTCTGAAGGAAGTGAATCTGCTTCTACCTCCCCCAATGAAGGTGATGTCAGTGGCTCTACTGATGAGGGCTGGTACAATATATATGCTGACCTGGATGTGTGGGATAGTGAAGTTTCCAATGGACCTGAGTCTTCAGGGCAGCAAGATGCATCTGAGCATGAGGTGGAGGACTGGGATAAAGAATTGGAGGAGTCTGCATATGGTCCTTATGGTGAGTAAACATTTACTTGTGCTTCATTTGAGTTTTGGATAGTTGGAGGCAGGAGAATGTGTTTTAAGTAACTCCATGTTCTATTTTGGAAAGCAGTTTCTTGTGTTGACCTCCTGAATGTGTAATGCACAATTTTGTTGTCAAATACTGGAACTGCTCCTCTTGCCCAGTTTATTTTAACTTGCTCATCCCACCTGTAGCTCTTTAAATCCTCACAAACTAAGGCAGCTGTGATGATTGGATTCAGGTCCTTCTGAAGCATATTCAGTACAAGTGTCTGAGTTAACTGCTGCAAATACAAAACTGTGCTGATTGGTCCTCTACTGATGAGGGCTGGTACAATATATATGCTGACCTGGATGTGTGGGATAGTGAAGTTTCCAATGGACCTGAGTCTTCAGGGCAGCAAGATGCATCTGAGCATGAGGTGGAGGACTGGGATAAAGAATTGGAGGAGTCTGCATATGGTCCTTATGGTGAGTAAACATTTACTTGTGCTTCATTTGAGTTTTGGATAGTTGGAGGCAGGAGAATGTGTTTTAAGTAACTCCATGTTCTATTTTGGAAAGCAGTTTCTTGTGTTGACCTCCTGAATGTGTAATGCACAATTTTGTTGTCAAATACTGGAACTGCTCCTCTTGCCCAGTTTATTTTAACTTGCTCATCCCACCTGTAGCTCTTTAAATCCTCACAAACTAAGGCAGATGTGATGATTGGATTCAGGTCCTTCTGAAGCATATTCAGTACAAGTGTCTGAGTTAACCGCTGCAAATACAAAACTGCTGATTCATGGCTTTTTAAGTGTCTTTAGCTCTTGCTGTGGTGGCTTGTTTGGCAGTGCTGCTGGAGGCTGACATGTGGGATATTGTGTTGGGTCCTCTGCTTCTCCATGCTCTGGGCTTTTTCTTTGCTCAGTGTCTGCTAGAAATCTTTATGCTTCTGTTAAAACACTTTGCCCTATTTTTGTGCTAGATTGGTTAAATACAGGCCCATTATGCTTGATTCTAGCCTAGTGGAAATGTTTTTCCAAGACAGCTTTTCCAGGACTCCACCCTCCCGTTGTGTCCAGTGACCCAGTTCTTAGAGGGTTTGGAGGACCCCTCTTTGGGATGGTGTTATGACAACAGCAGCAAGGGGAAAGGCAAATAAAATTGATAGTCTCATGAGCCTTTTATTCCCAGGGAAGATGTGAAAGAACAGCATGTCTTGTAAGAGCTGGTGCCAGACATTCTAAGTCCCAGGTACATCAGTGAGCTTTCTGGAAGACTGTTTTGTCTGTGTGGCATGAACCTTCCTTAAAATGAAGACATTGCCAAATTAATTTTTTTTAAAGGTCTAATTAAAGTGCAGATCAGACTGAAATAGTGAACTAGAAGATACCATAGACCCCCATAATAACCTGCTACACTATTCCACTACTTTCCTGAGTATCTCCCATGGTTTAAACCTTTTATTTTATCTTTAGATGCTGATGATCTCTCCGGTGGAAGCTTTGAGGAAAACAATCTTTTCGGCTCATATGTATGGAAGGAGGATTGGTTTTACAACCCAGGCTGTCACCACACACCTTGCTTTGTTTTTCCACCACGAGTTAGAACAGTTGAGAAGGGCCAGTTTGATGATGCTGATGAATGAGGTTGAGTCTGGTCAGAAGGAAGTGTGGCTTCTGTGCTGCGTTATGTTCTTCAGTGACTGAGCTCTGCCAAGTCCCGTGGCGTTTCTGCAGAGTTGGGCCTGAGGCCAGAAATGCAACACCATCTCCAGAGTTTTGCTTAGACTGTTTCTGTTCATAAACTGCCCACCCTTGCCCTGGAGATAAGAGTGCAGGTGCTGGGTGTAAGGAGTCAGTGCATTTCTGGAGGTTTTGTTTGTATTATATAGATCTATGTTGCTAATTAATTGCTTGAGGAGAAGTATTTAATTTCTAAACTTCAGCTTGTTGCCAGGCTTCTGTCAGTTTTGACATGCTGATCCCTATGTTTTTGTGCAACTTTTAGTTTTTTTTCCTTTACATTTGATGCTGTCAGATTGGTTTGGATAGCTTTAAAAACTCTCCCTCCTTCAAGCTGGTCTGTTGTATTTCCATATGGTTTAAAAGTCCATTTGTGATTCTTATACTGGTGTTTTAACAAAATCAGCTGTGGCGAATACAGAACAAGTTGTTTTGTGTTTATTTTTATGTATTTCAGCATAAAGGAATTACAAATACATGGTACACATTTTGCAGATACGTGTGCTGCTATATAGGGGGCCATACTCCATCCAGTAGGAATGCTGGGTGCTTGAGGCTGCCTCCCAACAAAGATTTCTCCACATCAGACCTTCTTGTGTATGGACACATTATCCTAGAGTCCCACAGTTGTCTTTATTACATTCTCATGCAACATCAGATGTGCAATGACAAAGAAAATATCTCTGCTTATATATACATATTTCAGCATATCATCTCAGTGTCCTGCAGACAGTAGTGAATTAAGGTTCCTGATGCTGTTCTGCTGTTTGTGTTGTGGCAGATGAGATGGGAACACAAAATACCTCCACAGAGTCCTTCCTGCAGACAGTAGTGAATTAAGGTTCCTGATGCTGTTCTGCTGTTTGTGTTGTGGCAGATGAGGAGATGGGAGCACAAAATACCTCCACAGAGTCCCTAAGGGAAGAGGTGGAACTAGAACCATATCCTTCTCACCTTTGCTCTGGAGTTGTGTTCTCAAATGAAGTGTGTAAGTGGATTGAGTAGCTGGTCACCTGAGTAACAATAACTTTCAACGTGCTCATGTTTCATTAAACACTTTTATCTCAAAAACATTTTCATGGCTTTGTGTTTAGACACTGGCTGAACTGAAGCACTGTACAATGAGGAGTTTTTTGGTTTCCTATCTCTTTTTTTTTTAATCATTCAGTGTATGAGACCAAAATAATTCGTGCACTAGTTTAGAAGGAAGAAGTGAATGACACAGTGATATTTCCTTAATATTTTCCTAGAGAGTACAGGAGAACAAGAGCTTGTGAGATAAGAGCTTTTCTTTGGGTACCTTTCAATTCCTGATTATGTTTTGGTACGTAGCAGTCAAAGCAGAGTGGAAGCATAGTGTTGAGGTTGCAAGGAAGAGGGCCTGGTCTTTTATTCCCATATGATGGAGTCACCTAGGGATTAATATTTCCATCAAAACTTCCTCAGTTATGCCAATAACTGGCTCATCATCTCAAGTGAAAAGGTTGATTTGCAATTATAAGTGCAGTATTCATGATGATAAATTGAGCGCAGATTACTGTTGAAGTAACAATACACCAGTAAATTGTAAAAATTCCTCTGAAAACTCCCTGGTTTTTTTGTGAGCCTGTTTATCCTGTGCAGGCCTGGCTGTGGATGACAAGGCTCAAGGCTTCCCTGCAGAGGGCAGCAGAAAATTGCTCGGCGTGTGCTCAGCAGAGCGAGCTCCCCGGGCTGGATTTCTAGCGCTGATAGCAATTTAGATCAGAGTTCTGCATTGCCCTGTTGTTCCCCAGTGAGGCTGATTCATGGCCCTGATTAGTTTCTCATTTTTTTTATTTCACTCTGAAGTTATACTTACTGGACTGAAAAATTTCTCCCATGGCTGAGTGAAGAACATCACTTGACTTCAGGCTTAATATATTTTTTTTTTTTACTATGCTTGTGGGAGATATCCCACCGTATTCAATAAAGATGAAACTAATAGAATTTTGTGGAAGCAAACCCATCTTTTGTAGAATTGTTTTATAAGGATAACCAAAAAGTCTTTATAACACTGATTGGGATATTTTTTCTTCCTGTACAGTTCCAAAATTCCATCATTCCTGAATCTTCAAGCCCATTTTCCGTGCGCTTTATAAATCACAGTGTTTTTTTACCCTCTGTCTTTAATTGCAATCAGTCTTGTCTTTCTCAAAGGTCTTATTATTTGAGGAGAAATTGTACTGAATGGCTGCTTTGCTAAGCTGTTTGTATTTTAAATGACTGTAAACTTTAAAGATTTGTTTTCAGATACCATTTAAGGTTAAAACTGACACCACCCGCTCCAGCTTTGGAGAACCAGGACTTTGCCGCAGAGATGCATCGTTCTCTCCAGGGATATGTTGGCAAATACAACTTTGTTCAATTTAGCCCTGCTTGTTAGGGCAGGGCCTTGACATAAAGCTTGATCTGAACACTGCCAAACTTCAGGGGGATTAGAAAACCAGATGCAGGTTTCTCAGAAAGCATCTGCCTGGGAGGATTTGGAACCAAGCTCACAGATTCCAGTGTTTCTGCACTATGGAGTGTTTCAAATTCCATTGTGAGTCTTGCACCAAGCCTGTTTTGTGTTGACACAAGCATGTCATTCTAGGCAGGAATACTTGCAATTAAAAACAACATAAGGTAACAGATGAGCCAACAGCTCACACCAACAGTCAACTCTTCAACCTGCTCAAATTATTAGAGGGAGCAGAGTGCCTGTCACAGGACCAAGATCATAAATCTTGGATGAACACAAGAAACACATTGGCAGTGCATCAGTTGGAAAACTTGGAAGTGTCAAAGATTGCTCAGTTAAATGCTCATACATCTTTAACAAGATTTCCCCTTTCTATACCTAAGATACCATTCAAATAACTGAGTCCCTGCTGCAGGTTAATAGCTTTGCTGGGTTTATGGTGTGGGGGTGGCTTAGGAATGTGGTGTAATATGGTGGCTCATGAGAACAGGGTACGACTTTGAAGCTGCCCTTGCTTTTCTTCTCATTGCCTCACTTTGTAGGTAAAGATAATAACACCAGCCAGTAAAGTACTTCAAATGTGCTGAGGAAGAGATTTTGTCTAAACAGTGAGGTGCTAAGAAATGAAAACAAAACAGATTTTTGCATTTTCTTTGAACAGCCAGCAAAGAAATGAAAACTTGTTTTGGGTGCATCTGTTGTTTCCTTTGAGACCTACAGGGAGTGATTTGCAAAAGGAAATAATTGTAGGAAATGTGTTCATATTTCCTGTTGATAAGGTAAAGCACTTAATTCATACATCAGATTGAGACAGTGTTTCTTGCTTTTATGTAATCACAAAATCCAGCCCATTTCAGTGTCTTTTAAAGACACTGCTGCTTCTCTTGTTGTTTTGTCCCATTTTTGCACTGGTCTGCTTTCACTTTTAAACTGAGAGAATGCCTCCACTGTTGGGGGCACTATGTGAATAATTTAACAGACTAAAGCAAAATGCTGATGGCAGCAGCTCATCCTGACCATCTGTTGCTTCCAAGGACACCAAAGTAAATCCCTTTGTAACAGAGGTCATTTTGTGAAGCTGGGTAAGTCTCTGTAGGCATGGAGGAGGAACTTGTGATACTTTACCCTCTGTGGTTCTGTGTTACAGAGGCATCGGAAGCTTGAGTATTAGAGGGTAAATTCGTGGTGGAGTTGTTAGTCCTGGAGTACCAGCTGCTCACAGCATAGCTTCCTAGCTTGGCTGGAGAAATTGGAACCTACTAAAAAAAGCAGCAAAGCACACAATCCCAATAATTTGGTTTAGTGATGAAACCACTTCCTTTAAACATTTGGAGTAGATCTTCAGCTGGTACAAACTTCAGCAGCTCATTACCCAGGCAGAACCTCTCTCCCTGTATGTGCCCCTATGCAATGCCTGTGTCATCTCTTAATGAAAGCTCATGTTTAGTGTTTCGTGTTTCATTACTGCTGTGTTTTATTATTGCTGTGTTCTTAATACAGTGTGCTTTCTTTATGTTACTTTTAGCTCTGTTGATCTTCACTGAGAAAAACCCTGAATGTGGTTCAATGGCTGCATTTATTTCTTAGCAGGTTGTATCAGGTGGGGTTTTATCCACAATGATAACTAGTTTCAGGACACGTAGATGAAATCAGCCTCGGAAAGTTTACTTCTATGATTCAGCAAGTCTTGGATTCTTTGGCCTGAATTCTTTTAATCAAATGTTTTCTGGTGTGCCTGCAGCTTCTACATTTAAGACCTGGAAACTCTTTTCATTGTATGATGCAGAAATTTAAGAATGAGTTGTATACATAAATTGTATGTATTTGTGAGCTTGAGAACTTAGTCTGTTATTTCCCTCAAAGGGAAATAGTGCTCAGTCCTCTTGGAACTATTGGTCCTTAGTAAGACTTATACTGAACAGCACATTTTCTGTGACATCTGGGGTACCAGAGGATGCCAAGTTCTCATTGTGCTGCTTTGCAATTTTAATCAGTGTAGCTACTGTAGACTCTTATTCCAACATTAAACAAGTTATTTAGTATTTCTACATCTACCTCAGGAACTACTCCAAAACATTCCTGTTCTCACTGAGGAATTCCTTCGTTTGCTTAACACATTCTGGAAAATATGAAAATTATTTTACCTCAGATAAAGTAATATAATTTCACTTGTAATCTTCATCCAGACACCAGAGTAAATATGCCACATTGTAATATAGTTCTGGCTGGCTACAGTTGGTTGGGAATTGTGTAACTCCCCGTCCCATGTTACATGCCCAGATGTTTCTGGGGAAGTAAATAGGTGTGACTGTGAGATTAAAAACAGGACCTATACCTCACAGCAGACAGTACAACCTCCTCCTATGCAAGTGGAGATCCAGATAGCAAGGAAGGTCTTCTAGCTGAGCAGGGCTTCACAGTGTTGCTGACAATAGTATGGTAGAATTAGAATAGCAAGGCCAGAGGAGAAACTGATAGTTCCACCAGAAGCATGGGCAACAAATCAGAAGAATTGGGTACAGGAATCTCAATTGCCGCATTCTCCTTAGAGAAGAACACCTAAAGGAAGTTTGCAAATTCTGTTTTAACTGTAGTTAACTCCTTAAATCACAAACTGAAGCAGGGCAAGTAACCTGAAATGAATGCACCGAGGTGGAGTGTGCAAATAGCCACATGCTGAGTCAGCAATCATCATTGTCTTGTCTACTGTCCCTACTGGATTTGCTGGAATCCCAGACCCCCCTCTGTTCTCAGTGTTATTTTTATCAGTACCTTCAGTTCCATGTTCTTCAAACAGGTCATTATTTTCCAGGTCTGAAACACCTTTTACCTTCTGTTTTGTTTAGTTGAAGCTTATCTGCATTATTCAGGTTTGATTTGTTTGATTGGGCCTCCAACTCTGCAGCTTGCCAGACGTCTGGTCTTTTTAGTGGGATTGGTCAGACAAAATCAAGAGAGATAAATATTTCTCAGGCTGAGACTGCCTGTCTGCTAGATAAGAACTACATTTAATTCTATTATCTGCACTTGTGTTAGTAAATGGATTAGGTTTAATTTGGTCCTTTGGAGAGAAGCGGGTGAACTGTTCTTCAGACAGATCTGGGGTTTGCTGTAAGGACAGGCTTTGTGATGTGGTCTGTAAAGTGCCTTGTAACCCTGCAGGAATACTTTGTGTGGCTGGTTCCTGACAGCAATTTGGAATGCTAAATTTAATGATT